CCAACACAACGGTGTATTGGTGGCGAAAGCCTACGTGTTAAACTGAGAGACGTTCACATTGTACCGAACTGTATGCTACAATGTCGCGATGCCGCGCATGACAAGAGCAAAACAAAAAGTAACTGTAAAACCGCAAGCTCGTGAATAATGATCACAGTGAAGATACGGCTGTACAGTCGGATGTTGAAGAAAGGTCATCATCTAAACCTCGTCAAGATTTTACCGCACCTGGCAAGTCACCAGTTGCATCAACCACCTGGCCGATGTCTCCACTGCTCGAGGCAGTGTGACGACTGCACATTAATCAGCACAGAAAATGCCGCGTCACCTTCTCAACGCGAGCGTGAGAGACCATCTGCAACAGACTAAAGCTGACTGCCTTAGTTGCATTGTTTGCCTTATCATAAGCATCACATTGCACACACCTTAACTTAAGCCATTTTTATAGCCTTTTGTGATAATTTGTATTCTATGGACCGAGTGAGTGTCAGTTGAATATTCAATATCTGGTGCTCTGATCTTTAATGAGATGTGTTAGTACTGTATTTGAAAAACAGAAAACTGTCTGTGTGGTTAAGTGTGTCAAATCCATCCGTTACATGCGAGCAATATAAGAATTTTAATAAGGTTGAATTCTGTCATTGTGTATAACGAATCAATCATACCCGAGGGCCTAGACAAATCAAATATTAATATAAATAACAGATACCTTCCAGAACTAATAGAGTCCCCTCTCAATATGAGTGGAGGCATCAAGGAGTGAACAGTAACGAATGGTCCGCAGCGATATAAGTTTCATTTCAGTTTCATTTATTAGGTACTAGCTTTACTACCCGGCTTCACCCGGGACTTAGATTCACCACGCCCGGCCGCCTTTGTCTCCCCACACCAGTTACTCGTTTGAGGCTCAGTCGACCTAGGGGAGGCCCAGGACCGGTTCAAATAATCGTCACCGGTGGTGGCCGTGAGCGGGAATCGAACTCGGGTCGCCGGGTTCGTAGTGCAACGCGCTAACCATAGGTACACATACACGCGCTTGCTGCAGACACACGCAACTTTCAGGGTGCGTACGGCAGTAAACGACTGAAATAATAAAGCAATCCTGCGCGAAGAACGCCTTAGGCCTGCAACACATTTGTATTTCACTTTACCCGCGATCAGCAGGCACACTCCGTTTTGCTTCCGCACACGAGTCACATGACAGATGTGACATCACAGCTCACTTGCCGTGCAAAAAATATGTGCATTATGGAGCCCCCCCCAAAAAATATATATACAAAAGGTTTTTTTTTATTTTTGCATGGTGTACAGTGTGTAAAATACCCACATGGCAAATTTCAAGTTTGTTGCATGTCGGGAAGTACGCTAAACATTTTGAACAGACACACATAATCACAAATTTCCCTTTTATGTATATAGGGACGAGCTTAACTACCCGGCTTCGCCCGAAACTTGGGTTCACCACGCCCGGCCGCCTTTGTCTCCCCAATGGCAATGTTCACACACCACACCAGTTACGCGTTTGAGGCTGAGGCTGAGTTGACCTAGGGGAGGCCCAGGACCAGTTCAAATAATCGTCACCGGTGGTGGCCGTGAGCGGGAATCGAACTCGGGTCGCCGGGTTCGTAGCGCGGCGCGCTAACCGCTACACTACAATGCGTTACGATTCCACATGCGCGGGTCACGTGACAGATTTGACGTCACAGCTCACTTGCCGTGCGCAAAAAATTCATTATTGAGCTCCCCCCCCAAAAAAAAAACTAAATATAATTTTTACACGGTGTACAGTCTGGAAAGTACCCACATGGCAAATTTCAAGTTAGTTGCATGTCGGGAAGTACGCTAAACATTTTGAACAGACACAATCACAACTTTGCCTTTTATATATATGGAGATAACCCTGTGAGCCATGCGGCTCTTGACCCGGGTGCAACCGCAACAAATAAAACCATGAACAAGAAACATCTTAAAGTGACTACACGCAACAGAAAAATCCAGGGGAAAAACAGCAAAGTCTTCCATAAAAAAACACTGTATATCAACACTTTGTGCAAAAATCCCAGTGGGATACAAGTCAAACAATAACAACCATAAGACAATTTAAAGTTATCAGGCTAGCTCTGTACTACAACAAACATGGCTAAACCAAAACTTTTCAAAATCACTAAAATAAAGCTATAAAAACAATGTAACAGTGATCATAGGAACTGTGATTCAAATTTAACAATAAACGATATACATTCCATGGAAGACCAAACTTTACAGCCATAGCTGGCTGCATGAGTCACTCCATAACAGCAGGAGTATCAGTAGCAGTATCAAAACATTTCTATACACCTTTAAAGATCAGCACACTATAATCAAAACTCAAGATCATACTTTGCAGCGGTCATCCGGAACGATACATTTGACTTCAGGCCATTCTGAATAGCAGTGGCAGCTAGGTGTGTACAACTCCTCTGACACGCAGGCGACTGACCGGCGGTGAGTGACTGGAGCTGAAAAACAACACTGCCAGAAGGCCGTGTGGGCTGATGGAATTTGTCAACAAATATTTTATTTTCATCTGATGGAAACAGATAAGGGAAGGGCAACGGGGAGTGCGTCGTCCGCTTAATACACGTATAGAGGGCGGCAAGTCCTTTAATAACTTCCCGCTATATTCTCCAGCGCATATAGGCAATAGCCGTCCTTTTCTAGATTTGAAGCTTTCGTGACTGCAAGGATCCATACTCTTTGGTTTTATTCGGTAAAGTCACGTAGGTAAAATAAAATAAAAAAACAACAAAAATCACGACGTTTCGGCCACAACACAAGCGGCCTTCATCAGGTGAAGGGACCAGCCCTGTCTCGAAGACTGCGCTGGAGCTGGGGGGGGGCCGACGGAACCAGGGGGGGGCCGACGGAGCCAGGGGGGGGCCGACGGAGCTGGGGGGGGCGACAGAGCCAGGGGGGGGGCCGACGGAGGTGGGGGCGGGGCCGACGGAGCCAGGGGGGGGCCGACAGAGGTGGGGGCGGGGCCGACGGTGTCGGGGGGGGGCCGACGGTGTCGGGGGGGGGGGGGCGACGGAGCCGGGGGGGCGACGGAGCCAGGGAGGGGCGACGGAGCTGGGGGGGGGGGCGACGGTGTCGGGGAGGGGGCGACAGAGCCGGGGGAGGGCGACGAAGCCAGGGAGGGGCGACGGAGCCAGGGGGGGGCCGACGGAGCTGGGGGGGCGACGGAGCTGGGGGGGGGGTTTCAGAGCTGGAGGGGGGCCGACGGAGCTGGGGGGGGGGGCGATGGAGCCGGGGGGGGGCGACGGAGCTGGGGGGGCGGCGACGGAGCCAGCGGGGGGGCGATGGAGCCGGGGGGGGGCGACGGAGCTGGGGGGGCCGACGGAGTCAAGGGGGGGGGCGGGGCGACGGCGCAAGCAGAGGGATCCGACACTGACCTTCTCACACATCATACACTGACTCACTCACACCATGCACTGACTCACTCACACACCATGCACTTACTCACACATCATACACTGACTCACACATCATACACTGACTCACTCACACATCATACACTGACTCACTCACACCATGCACTGACTCACTCACACACCATGCACTTACTCACACATCATACACTGACTCACACATCATACACTGACTCACTCACACATCATACACTGACTCACTCACACCATGCACTGACTCACTCACACATCATACACTGACTCACTCACACATCATACACTGACTCACTCACACATCATACACTGACTCACTCACACATCATACACTGACTCACTCACACATTATGCACTGACTCGCTCATCATGCGCTTACTCACTCACACATCATATACTCGCACAACCACTGACCCATTCACTCATCATACACAGGTTCACTCATTGTTTGCTGGCTCACTCGCACATCATACACTCACTCACTCATCATGCGCTGACTAACACATCGTGCGCTGACTCACACATCATACACTCACTCACACTGCCACTGACTCGCTCACACATCATTCACTGACTCACTCTTCATACGCTGACTCGCACATCATACGCTGACTCGCACATCATACACTCACTCACACTGCCACTGACTCGCTCACACATCATACACTCGCTCACACATCATTCACTGACTCACTCTTCATACGCTGACTCGCACATCATACGCTGACTCGCACATCATACACTCACTCACACTGCCACTGACTCGCTCACACATCATACACTCGCTCACACATCATTCACTAACTCACTCTTCATACGCTGACTCGCACATCATACACTCACTCACTCTGCTGCTGACTCACTCACACATCATACACTGGGAGTGTCGTGCTGCCAGCTATGGCTGCAGTTTTTTTGTCGTACGTGTTATGTATATCGTTTATTGTTAAATTTAAATTCACAGTTCCTATGATTACTGTTGTTACATTTGTTTTTACAGCTTTATTTTGGTGATTCGAAAACATATGGTTAATCTAAATTGTCTTATGGTTGTTGTTGTTGTTGGCTTGCACCACATAACATGTTTTTTTGCGTGGAATATTTGCTGGTTTATTCCAGGATGTTTCTGTTACGCGTTGTCGCTTTAAGATGTTCTGTGTTCAAATTTTGTTTGTTGCGGTTGCACCCGACTTAAGAGCCGCATGGCTCACAGGGCTATACCTAATAAATGTAACTTGAAAAAAAACTTGAGTGAATCGCCGTCCTAACACGGCCGCCTGATTGCCTCAAAATCCGCACAGCTCGCAGCTCGGCGCACCGCTGACGGGCAACTGTGGGGGGGGGGGCGCGACCGCGTGAAGAGAAACGCCGCGGAACTCGCCGCTTATGCGCTCTACGAAATGCAACGCGGCAATCCGCGCAACGGTTGAGAACTGAGCAAGGGCGGTCGCGACGAACGCGCGCCGCGTTTCCTTAAGGGGGGGGGGGAGGGGGTGGTGGAGGAATTGTCTCGCTCGACGTGATGGCCGCGTATCACGACGACAGAGCCTCGCCGCTCACCCTCGTCTTCCTCGAGGAGCGCGTCCTCGCTCGCGATGGAACTCGGCTCCCCGTTGGGCCCGGCCATTGCTGCTCTTGAGGGTGACGGGAACCGGAACCGGCAAGAGGAGCAAACGGGAACCGGAACCGGCAAGAGGAGCAAACGGGAACCGGAACCGGCAAGAGGAACAAACGGGAACCGGAACCGGCAAGAAGATTCAATGGGATCCAGTCTTTCCATTGAAACGAGCTATTTGCAATGTGCACGTGTTGGGCTTTTTGTCAGTACACTGCCCATACTTCACCGCGCTGGTCAGTGGATGAGACAATACAGCACAGTCTGACCGAGTCCTCAACATTAGTTCAGTTCAGTTTATTTTGGTATAGCCCTGTGAGCCATTCGGCTCTTAAATCGGGTGCAACCACAACAAACAAACAAAAAACACGAACAAGATAAACATCTTAAAGTGAATCAAAGAGTGAAGTTCATGGGAAAGGTAATCATGGCAGTAGCGATAGAAGAGTGACAGGGAGGCGACTGACTGGAGTGAATTAGTGAGTGTTGGTTCATCACTCACACTGACTGAGAGTTATACAACACAACTCCTAAAACCTGCGTGCCAGATGTGTCCTACAACAAAATAGGGGTGACTCGCAGGCGATGATGCGTCTTGCTGGTCATTTTGTAAAGATGTGACGGACTCTGCGTTTGTAATTTCAAGCACAATCATCTTTTAAAGAAAATAAATGCAAATGTCGGTTCCAGTATATTTATTTAAGCACACAAAGCACGACACAAATCACATCAGGCAGTACAATATAAAAAAAAACATCGTACTCTATTACCAAAAAGTAAAAACGAAAACGAGTAATAATTTAATTAAATAAAGTTTGCAATCCCCAGTCTATAAAGTTATTAAATATAACATTAAATATATTTAACATTCCAGTATTAAAGATATATCAAGCAACGCATGGTCATCTTAATGTTTATCAAATGCGTATGTATGGCAGTGCAATACAGTGCATAGTGTAGTTAAATAACATAAATAATAAAGGTAATAAATATCACAATTATTTGTAAGTATATATTGGTTTCGCAAAATAAGAAATCCTGCATTAATCCCTGATGATAGAGGTTCCTTTATTACCAAGGTATTATAATTTAATTAATACAAATCCAAGATGCGTAATATGTGCATGAGACCATGCGTCATCCTAAAGTTCCAAGGTTGCTGCAAACACGTGGATCAACTGATCGTGTACAGTTTTCATCAAATATTTTTCAACTTCACATAAAAAATTAGGCATCATGCATTGCCACGTTCTCAGAAGCCACCCTTGAATAGAATAAATTGTATCTAATCGCTGAATTTGTGAGAATTGCTCATCAACTTCCCAGTGGGCTAAATAATAATTGGTGCATCACTAATTGGTTGTATGACACTCATTTGTTGGGCTCTGCCAGGTGCTGGAGAGGGTCTAAATGACAGATTTGGCCAGATCATTACATGGCCTAACCCAAAAATTACCTTATGATCTGTAACATTCGCTGCAAAAATCAATTACTTGTTAAGAATAAAATTTACTTGTCAAGGAAGTGCCCGCGTAACTGAAAGAGCTGAGCTGGCACGATTGAGATTCAGGCTACCACACGTGATTAAAGATGGTTCTCAATTGTAGCGAGTTGATAGTCTCAGCCAAGGCACAAATGACTGCACACACCACTTACTCTTTGATAGCACTCTTCTATCACGCGAACACCAGTCATCCTGGCAGTGGCGGCGTTTGGCTAGCCATCAAACAAAGACGGTCACTGCATTGCGCGCTTTCAGATGCGCTTCTGCGGCCGTCGGGAATTCTCTTCCGATATTAGGAAGCCGCGCGAGCTATGCACTTGTAATTATAGGTTTAAAACGAATTTATATTCTTTGGGTCTTTCGGTAAAGTCACGTAGAACAAAAAAAAACTACGCCGTTTCGATCGCAACACAAGCAATCGTCATCAGAAGGAGGGAAAAAAAGAACGAATTTCTTTAGAATTGCTTTTTGTGTTTGTTGTCCCAGGGTGTACGATTCAGTTAAATCGGTTACACAAAAAGAACCAACGAGTATAAATAATGTGTTTCCCTGAATATAAAAAGGGCTACAGTATGAATGGGTTTTTTTGTAATTGGTAATGTCCTGCATACATTAATGAGCAGCTGCTAAAATCAAAGCGATTAGCTTATGAAAAACTGCCTCATATGTGAAAACACCATCAGACCACTTAGTACATGTAATCTCTACCAAGCCTGGCTCCAGCTGTAGGGCTGGAAGATGGCAGTAGAGCTGTGTTGTGCGAGGGACCACTATAACCGTAATATACACTGCCAAGGAGGGTGAACTTGGGTGGAGGCTAAAGTGATATTGTGTGCTGCAGGGCAGTAATACTAGAGCCCTCTTGATGTCTGTATGTTTGTTGAATTTCTTTCGTAACGTGCATAGCCGAACACGCTAATCAGAGTTTTGGGAAATCTATAATCTGTAATATACCTTGGAACTTCCAAATTAGGGGTGCGACTCTGACTGGTGCCTCTAACATTAGCAAGCACAATCAATAGTTGTCTTTCAAGTAGTTCTGAGAACAGAGCTAGTGTGCATGCATCGCATGATTGCAGTAAATGTAAGCGATGGTTCTCTTTCATTGATTTAGGATAACGTTAAGGTGCGAGTTAATGCCTCACCCGCCAAAGGTATTTCTAAGTTTGGTAGCAGGGTGGCACAGTGGTTAACACTTGTGCCTCACAGCAAGAAGGGCATGGATGTGTATGTTCTCACTGTTCTCTATGGGATTCCTCTGGGTTCTCCAGTTTTTTTCCCATATATATAAACTGGTATTGTCAAAAAAATCTCAATATTGCAAAATTACCTGCAAATTTTTCATTTGGGATTACACACGGCAACATAGCTTCCTCACCGAGTATTGATACTCGGGAGTCTTGAGACTCGGTGAGGCTTTCCTGGGTAAACAAGCAACATCACAACAACAATAATGCATTACTTGGCCCTCAGGAATTAAAATAGTTTTTAAAAGCTTCTGGGACAAATAATCACTGGAAAATGTATCAGAATAGATGAAAGAGAGAAAGAACTCAGGGCAGACATTCTTGGCAGCAGATCCTTGGTACCATTGTGCTTCAATGTCATTGGTGTCATGGGCTAGTCTCAGGATCGCAATTCAAGATTGGACTTTTACTCGCTGTTGCAAGGCACCCGAGGAAATAGTTTTTCACCTCGGAATGGTAGAACTTGTTTTGATAATTCCTTGTAGATGGCTGAAATGCACAAAGGGCAGTGTAGGAAAGGGGGGGGGGCGTGGGGGGCGGGGAAGACAAATTTATTATGAATGCTTACGATTTCCCAAGCTGTAAACAATAAAAACTTGCAACCTATTCAAATTGTGAAAACATTGTATGGTTTGTTTAGTGACTGAAGGGCTTGTGTACTGTACAAATGCTTTACGTAGCAGTGATTTTACATCCCTTTGTCAATCAAATGCTGGATGAAGACCTCCCCATGCTGTGTAGGTCATGGGGGTTATTTGACCATACTTCACCACGTTGGTTCTGTGCAGGTACAACAATGAACATTGCTGAACTGCCCTCTGCTTTTTAGCACTCAGCCTCGCAGTCTGCAGCATCAAGGAACCTTCCGTGTATGTTTCCCATCCCAGCACTGTCCAGGCTACACTGCTGCTCAGCTTCCATGATCTGATGAAATCGGGTGCATTCCTGGGTGATTTGGTCATAGGCACCATAAATTATAAATCCACAAAAATCGCCACAATATGCAATCCACTTGCATCATTTAACCAGCCAGGACACAAAGCAGTGTTAATGTGGTCAGCAGTTTTTAATTTTGCTTTCGTCTATTTCAGGGGTCGGCAACTAAATGAACAAGAGGAGCCATTTTTTTCGACTTTGGTAAAAAAAATATTTCAAGAGCCGCAATGCATGTGGATATGAGATGGTGGTTCCTTAATAAATAACGTCACTAAGTGGTTCTTAAAGAGCCACATGCGGCTCCGGAGCTGCTGGTTGCTGACCCTTGGTCTAGTTTATGATAACTTGTAATATTTTAGTCTTTGCCTAGTCGGTGGATTTCATTTAGTAATTTTCTTGGTCCGAGCCTAGTGAACTAAACAGCCTGTTCTTGTATGAAGCACAATATTCACCTCAAACCTCACCCCCTGAATATTACAGGTCAGCCAATCAGTCAACTCAAGTCAATACTTTCATATGTAGTGGTTCATATGAGAGAGGCAGATACTTCTTTGGAGGCAACATGTTTATTCCACAATAAGCCCTAAAACATGAAGGGGAATCACTGCCCCTTCACCAGCTACCCTAGGGAGGTATCTCCTCCGGGCTAGCTAACCCTAGCTCACACGTGGTGGCTATCCCGGACCGGACCCTGGCTCGGGTCCGGGTCCTGTAGTCGGGCAGGTCTTCGGTCTTGCAACAGCCCCCTGACCCGTTCAAGGGTCCGGCTTATATTCCCAGTCAAGTTTCAAGTTTTCAAGTTTCATTTATTGGGTATAGCCCTGTGAGCCATGCGGCTCTTAAGTCGGGTGCAACCGCAACAAACAATTTGAACACAGAACATCTTAAAGCGACGTGTAACAGAAACATCCTGGAATAAACCAGCAAATATTCCACACACAAAAACGTATTAAAACGCTGTGTGCAAAAATCAATGTGGTGCAAGCCAACAACAACAATCATAAAACAATTTAGATTAACCATATGTTTTCGAATCACCAAAGCTATAAAAACAATGTAACAACAGTAATCATAGGAACTGTGATTTTAAATTTAACAATAAACGATATACATAACACGTACGACAAAAACTGCAGCCATAGCTGGCAGCACGACACTCCCAGTGTATGATGTGTGAGTGAGTCAGCAGCAGCGTGAGTGTATGATGTGGGAGTCAGTGTATGATGTGGGAGTCAGTGTATGATGAGTGAGTCAGTGTATGATGTGTGAGCGAGTCAGCGGCAGTGTGAGTGAGTGAGTGTATGATGTGCGAGTGAGCCAGCACACGATGAGTGAACCTGTGTATGATGAGTGAATGGGTCAGTGGTTGTGCGAGTGTATGATGTGTGAGTGAGTAAG